AGTGAGCTACTGCAGAGTACACAGCATGTGGATTCTGATGAAGTGAAATCGACCGGCTGGTTAGAAATGGATGATACGTTCCTAATAAGCCCACAGTGCCTTTCGTTGGGAATTAATTAGATACTGTTATGTAAATGTCATGTTAATTAAGCAAGAAAAGTGAAGTGTTGTAAATCTGCTCAAGGAGTGGCTATTTTTGTATATTAATGTTTTGCAGTTACCTTGGAAGGGATGATAGTGGAATATTTGATTATTGAGCATTAGATAATTTTAGCTGACTGACTCCTTGACAGCTTTTTATTTTTTATTTTTTTTCCTAATTGACATGCTTTAGCACATAGTTTAACTACAGGCAATGAAGATTGGTGGGACCAGAAGCCAAAAACAACCAGCCTTGGTTCTTTTTATAACTAACCCTTTCAGAGTAGAGTGTTGCTCTCTGCTTGAAGGTATAGGAGGAATCCTGTGTTTCGTGTTTGTTGTGCCTTGGTTTCTGCGTGCTGGAGAGCATTGCTCATCCAGGTGTATCGGTCCACTTCTCACAGCCACAGTAGGCTGATCATCTATGGAATCAATTGCAGTGTAAGGTACCTTGACTTTTGTAGAATAGAGGTGCTCTGTGCCCTGCACTGAACTTCCCCTTTACCTGTAGAAGGATCCTTGGGCTGCTCAGTGGGACACGCTCTGCTCTCCATTAGCATCTGGGCTCCCTGTCTTGAAACTGTAAGCACTAAATAGTAATGCGTTTTTGGCATCACCAGTTGTCTTGAGCCTCTCTGGGTCACAGGATCATGATTTTAGTTGCCCCCTGCTTAGAAATGTATTTATTGTCTTCACTGTCTTCACCTGTGTAATCCACAGTCATGCAGTGGCTTCCTCACCTTACTCTTGTTCTGAGTTTATTCCATCCTGCTTCAGGGAGCAAAGATGGCCGATAGTGGAGCAGAGCTCACAGTGAGCTGTAGGTCCATGTGTCAGTTCCCTCGGCATAGAGCATGCAGAAATGAACACTGGGCCAGTTTTGGTGCAGTAGATACCATTTTGTTTACTGGAACCACACTGGACACATACAATATTTTTCTTGTTGACAGAAACCCTTCCCATAATTACGTATAGTTGGTTTATTTTAACAGTTGGTTTGTAATTAATTGTATAAGAGCAGCTTAATCGCCCTAGTGACTAGTTGGTTTTTTCCCCCCTTCAAGACAGTGTGATTTGGCCAGTGGGGATGAGTTGGGGGGTGGGGTGTTGCTCACCTTTGATTACAGTACTCGGGAGGTAAAGACAGGTAGATCCCTATGAGTTCCTGGCAAGCCTGGTCTACAGAGTGAGTTCCAGGACAGCCAGGCAGTCAAAGCTACAAAGAGAAACCTTACCTCGAACCCCCCCCCCCCCAAAAAAAAAAAGAATGTGGTTTAGATGACACACAGTTAATGTAGGGTGCATATGTGGTGTCCACAGGCTTTTGGTCTATGTTTTAAAGTGTTTCATAGACTACTGTCTATCAGCCCAAAGTTAATTCCAAGTTCTCCATTTATAATATTGTCCAATTATCAAAGCTGAGATATATTATCATTGCCAGTCAGTCAGTCAGTGTTTCGTGGCTCAGCTGTAGCTATGCCTGTGCTTTACTGTAATGGAGTGAGCACACTGGCCTCGGCTGCTAGTCTAACAAGCCTCTGGAGGACACTTCTGCGGTGAGGCATGCGGAGCTGTGCTCTGTAGCTGTAAGGCTATTTGCATTTTTTGCCAAAGCCTACAGAGGTTTATTGCCTAGGAATTTTTCTCTAAAGAGGTAAACTCTTAACCTTCAGGTGAGGTAAATTTTCTTTTATTTGATAATTACCTGGGCACTTGCAAACACGGGGTGTTCATTTATGAGTTCCAGACATTTCTTTCATTATTTTGGTTCCACAACTTCTCCCTACTCATATTTTTCCTGGCTTATTGATGTTCTTTAAGAAAGTGTTCTGATGCCTTTAATCCCAGCATTCAGGGAGGCAGAGGCAGATGGACCCCTGTGAGTTCCAGGACAGCCTGGTCTACAAAGCAGGTCCAGGACAGTCAAGGCTACATGGAGAGACCGTCTAGAAAAACCAAACCAAACAAACCAAAAGAAAAGAGAGCATTCTGGTACACTCCTACTGACGTTTCTCCACAGCTTACTGTGTGGGGGAACTCTTGATACTGAACTAGGAATGGAAGAAAACCATCAGCATTTGTAAGTTACCAGACTGTTAATATTTATAGTATATCCAGCTGCCTTAGAAGTCTCACTTCCTTACTCTATATTCAGTGTATATGTGTCTCTGTCAACCACTGAGCCATCTCTTTAGCCCCAGGAGTCTGCTTTTAAAGAATCTCAGAAGATGTTCTGATACATTGTCTGATAGACATTAAATAATTCATTCTAGTAACACTTAATTTGTGTTTCTATACTATGATTCAACCATGACCAAAACCAACTTGAAAAATGGGTTTATTTCATCTTACAGCTTAGGTCCTTGTTTTCCTTGGAAGTCAGGGAGGGGACTTAAGGCAGGGACCTGCAGACAGAAACTGAGGCCATGCAGGAGTGCTGCTTACTGGCTTGCTTCCTTATACCATCTGGGTAGACCTGCCTGGAGATGGCACCACCCACATGATGGGCTTGGCCCGTCCTCATTAATCATTCATCAGTAACATGCACCACAGGCTTGCCCACTGGCCGTTACGGTGGAGGCATTTTCTCAGTTGAGGTTTGTTCTTCCTAAATGATTCTAAGTTGAGTAAAGTTGACATAAAACTAACTAAGACAGTGTCCCTAACCCAGATACCCAAAGTGCTACAAAATCATACACTTGGGAGATAAATGCCATAATTGATCTCATCTCCTGGGCCAGTAAATACTTTGTATGTGCAGGTAGCTCGGTATGTGTATAGGGTCTGGGTGAAGTATAACAGAATATGATGTTCAGTCTTGGGATCTTCTATCTTCCAGATAACTCTATATGAAATATTCCTGTCCAATTAAAAAAAAAAAACCCAAATGCAAAACAGTTCTGATCCTAAGTATTTTGTATTAAGGATTCTCGACCTGTATTCCATTCTTTTCAGTCCCTTTATAGTATACCTCCATTAGAAAGTTTCTAAAAATCTGTTTGCTTTCCAAGTTAAATCCCCCAGCTCATATTGTCAATTCATGAGTGTTGTTAAATGCCCACTGTGATGAGACACAACAGAAAGCCTCACAGCTTATGAAGCCTTTCTGCAGAGATAGTCCACAAACTCCCTGGCTATTGACAACTTTTTTGTTCCTTTTTGTTGTGAGAGAAATGGGAACAGAGAATGTCATTTTCTAGAAAAGCCAGTTGTGTCCCCAAAGTGGGAATGTTGCCATTAACAACAACAGTAGCAGCAGCAAAGTACATGGAGGTGTGAGCCCCAGTATTTTGTGGAGCCATAAGTCAGAGTTTAAAAGCCTGGAGAAGATGGGCACTGTCTGGTTTATGTGTGACTTGGCTCACTGCCTTTTCCCACTGCTTATTTTCAAGACTCAGTTGTCCTTCTAAGCCCCTGAGATGTCAGTCTATTTAAGCTTTCTCTGGTGAAGGTGAGATTTGTAGAAATAAACAGCTCTGCCCTCTGAAAGGTCTATGGGGATTTTCTAATTTTTCTTGCCTCATTTTCAAATTCTCTGATTTTGCAGGTGATGAGTGTCCTTCCCCTTGATTGCATTGATGTTCATTCCCTGTCTCGTGCTTTGGACTTGACTCTTCTCCACACAGCCACTTACTGCTGCTGTATAGGGCTGTTATGTTCATAAATTCTGCCTTCCTAGTAAGCTTGCAAACTGTGGAACTAACCTGTGGTTACGCTGTGGGTGTGTAAGTCTTTTGGAAGTGAACAGCACATCTGGTTCTTCTTCCTATTAAGTATGTTGTTGTTGTTTTCTTCCTGTGTTGTATAGCTTGTGAGGGTTGTTGCAGTTGTTGCCTTGCTAAGGAAAGAGTGGGTTGATGGCAGAACCCCTAATTCGGATCCTCAAGTCTTTTCCATGACCTTGCTGAAACTGCGTCTAGTGACAGGTCTTGGAGGTCTTTCATGTCTCTCCCTTTTCACTGATTAATTTCAGTGATAGAAAGTCTAATCATAGGTGACATAAAACTGTGCCAACTTTTCTTCTGCTAGTCATCACCTGAAAGCCCTTTTCAGAATAACATATGACGTTTGCTTGTGCATTCTGTTCCTTTGTGGTCACCAATACTGCTTTCTCAGGGCAGGTTGAAAATTACTGCCCTTCAGATGTCTATAGCAGCTTCCTGTTTTCAAAGATGGATAGTCACTGGGGAGTTTTAAGGAAGAGTAATCAGTATCATCTTCATGTTGTATTGATGCTCTTTATCTTACAAAATGAAAGTGCTGTTTTCCAGGAAGCCTCCCTCTTATTGACTAAGCCCTTTTCACACTCTGTATGTCAGACCTCTGAGCCCACCATGGTCCCATGAAGACACATCAGCCATACTTCTTAGAGGAAAACTGTTTGTTTGTTTTGTGTGTGTGTTTTGTTTTTTTGTTTTTGTTTTTTACAGAAACAATCCTTGTTTCTTCTAATTAAGCCCTTTGCTATTCCTTGGGAACTGCCATTCTTTAACTAAGGCCAATTTTACAGTGACCACTGACTAAAATACACTGACCACTGAGATTAAAAAAGAACAGTTGCTTCCCTGGTTGCTTTGTGGAAGAACTCAGTTACCCTACATTTGAGTAATTTCTTCTCTCCTGGATCTGAATTTTATTTTTTTCTAACTTCTTGGCATTATGTGAGACTTAAGAATGTTTTATGAAAACTGCATTACACATAGAGACCAGAGCTCTATGGACTCAAATGCTGAGCTAATCCATGCCCTCCCAGGATACTTGCAGGTGGAGCCTGTCATTTGTAGGTTTCTCTTGATCGTGGTGGCAGCTGTGGCCGTGCGGAAGGACCCTGACTGATGTGCCTGCTTTTCTGTTTCTAGGTGGGCCATGCACAGACACAGCTCATGTCTCGTTAACCACACCAGCCAAAAGATCCTGTGGTGCAGGTATGTACACCGTCCTTACCTGAAGTCTTCCTAGAAATTGGCTGCTGGTTCTGGTTGGGGGTGCACACCCCAGGGCATTGTCTAGTCTTTTTTTTTTTTTTTCATCAAATGCAGTATGATGTATTTTTTACTTGAGATTGGGTAGAATTTGAATGGAAGTGAGAGTGATGTTCTTAGGAGTCATGTAGACTGCATAGTGCTGGCAGCTAGTTCCAAGAAAGTGGGCATCAAGATTTACCAACTTGCTGATATCCCAAGGATGTTAAGATGCAAAAAAAAAAAAAAAAGGCTTGAAGTGCAGAGTGTTGTCCAGTTTGTCTAAGCCCTGGATCTCTTAAAATCAAAAAAATAATAGATGATGAAAGCATAAAGAAGCTTTATATAAAAGAAAATACCGACTTGTTACAGTATCTTAGCAGTTTGGGGAATTACTTTTTGATGTTAAAAGCTGTGGGTCTGCTAAACCCAGTTTTTTCCAATGGGCGGTGCCCCAAACATCTTTGCATCTGTGACATTTTTATTTAACATGAGGTCATGAATCATGTAGTCCTTTAAAAAGCAGACCTAATGCCCACTGATCCCTTAGCCTATAGCTTAATTTATTTTAAATGGTTTGCCTTTCTAGAATGCTTCCTGCTGTTTAAAATATCTCAAGGTTTGTATTCATATTGTTTTCTAAAGGTCACAGTCAAGATGTTCTTCATAACTTAATTCAGACCTTTTATACTCTGAAACAGAAACAGCAGAATCTCTTTCCTGTGTAGCTTAAAGCCTTAGCTCCTGTGAATACAGTTGCTGGGGACGTTTACACAGGCCATCTTAGTGCAGATTCAGAGTGACATCCTGGCGCAGCACTCGTCAGGGATTCCTCTGTACTGTCCTGGCTGCTCTCGAACTTTGTTGACCAGGCTGGCCTTGAATGCACAGACCTGCCTGCCGCTGTTTCCCAAGTGCTGGGATTAAAGGCGTGTGCCACCACAGCCAGCTGATGGTGTCAGTCTCCTCCACGGCTTTGTCCCCAGTTCTAAGCACTGTCGTATTATTTTTCTTGCCCAGTTGTGCCTTTATCACATCTTTCTGCCTTGTTTTGTTTTGTTTTATTTCGATTGTTCACTGTAAACCTACTAAAAGTAGTGAATATTGAGCATGCCAGTCTGAGTGTTACCCTGCTTGAAGTTGTCTCTGCCAGATAAGTTTGTTTGTTGGTTTTTGTTTTTAAATCAGCCTCGCTTAGGATATTTAGGATATGAGCCAGATCTAGCTAGATTCTTTGCCAGAATGTAACAGGAACAGCTTCTAATCCTGTTTCCTGCAGAGTCAAGATTCCCATCCAAAATCTCATGAGCTCAGTCTTTACTGTCACATTTCTATTCACATTTTGGTCTAGACTTCAATAAGAATGGCCCCTGAAACTATTTGCCACACTGTAGGGCTTCTTTAGCCCATTCTACATTCCTTCCTACTCATTTTCAGAACAGTCTCACAGCAGCTTGTTCTCCATCACTTTTTCAGACTGACAGAGGTGTCCAATGGGAACAACTTAAGGGAGGGAAGGCTCATTTTGGCTGCTTCATAGGTGTCAGCCTAATGTGGTGGGAGAGTGTGCTGTGGGAGAGGAACGTGTGGCTGGTGCTGTTCACAGGTGGTGGATCAGGACTCAGCTCAGCAGAATCAGGAGCCTGGAGGTGTAGCCTTCAGAAGCTCATCCCTAGAGACTTGCTCCCAGTCTTCAGGCTCCAACTCCTGAAGATTTCACAGACTCCCAAAATGGCTTCCAGCTGGGAGGAAACCATCAGAGCCTGAGCAGTTGGGGTCCTTTCATAGTGAAACTGTACTATTAATTTGATTATGTGTACTGTTGCACCCATTAGATGGTATGGTAGATATTTTAGGAAGGAAGGATTAACTAGTACTATTAGTGCTCAGTGTCATGCCCAGCTTCGTTAATTACATGTATGTCCACCACATTTTTTTTCTGCATTTCAGTACCATAGTAGGAATTGAATATAATAGTTTTAGGTATGTGAATGATAAAAGAAGCATTGAGTTCTCAGACTTTTCTAAACCTTTGTATAGGTGAATGAATGACTTAGCTAGAAAATGATTGAGAATTTCTGGTATAGAAGAGAAATTAATACAATTAATTAGACATTAGTGTCTAGAGCAGCTCTTAAAGTTGAGGTTTCTCAGCATGGGCCCTAAAAGTTTTCAGTAAGTTCACATGCTGTGCATTAGAGATGTCTGTTTTGTGCGTCAAAAGGCTGCTGTGGCAAGGCAGACTCACCTGAGGAGGCATTAGAGGACAAGGCTTCTGGATTTTGAGAGGTAAATCAAGGATTTGCTCTGAAAACTGCAGGTTGATGCTATCCATCTTTTTTTCACCCCCTTTGTCCTGTAACCGGTATGTTGCCTATAGTGGAGGTTCTGATACTTTGCTTCTGAATCCTAAGTTACTGCTACATGACTGGAATATTCTTTTAATCCTTATGTTTAGTTCCTTATGGGCAGGGTTCATGCTAGTAACATGGACTCTGTAGCGTGTCTCCCTGAGGGTCTCCCAGGCAGGCTGCACAGGCACTTACAGGGAGTAAACACTTACCTTACACAGTAGAGTTTTAGCTTGAGTTTTAGGAGTTTTAGCTTGAGTCCTGAGACCCGACTGACCCAGCCAAGCTCTCCTCAGGCTTGATTTTACAGTGACCTTAGAAAAGGTTCCTTTGCTGAGTGTGATGCCCTCCCTGTCAAACAAACAGCACCTAGCATGTGGGGCGCAAGACCCTCCTCAGACCCTCCTCAGGTTTGATGCCAGCCTGGGCGAACTCACTCTGTAGACCAGGCTGGCCTCGAACTCACAGAGGTCTGCCTGCCTCTGCCTCCCAAGTGCTGGGATTAAAGATGTACACCACTGCGCTCAGCTCTTTCACAATATTATTTATATGTAGAAATTCATTACTTATTTTTGTAGTTAAAGTGTTTTGTGGGAAAGGGAAAGTTTGGCTTTTTGTTAGGCTTTCTTATTTAAAGATTTATTTTCAGTTGCAGCAAAGAAATGTTCTTTTGTTGGGGTTTGTTACCCATGAATTTCAAAATTAAAGTTTTAGTGGACATTGTCTTAGGGTTATCCTTCTGATAAAAGGCGTGATCAAAAGTAACTCGGGGAGGAAAGGCCAGGCAAGAACTGGAGCAGAGGCCGTGGGGGAGTATTACTCCTGCTTTGCTCTATCTGCTTTCATAGGACCTGCCGACACCAGTCATTAGTCAAGAAAGTACCCTCCTGGCTTTCCCACAGACTCTAAGAATAGAGACATTTTCTTAATTGTTCCTTCCAGATAACTCCCAAGTTGAAAAACAAACAACAAAAATGTGTCCTGGACTGACATATAGGGAGCCATGCCTGGTTTTAATTGGACTTGAAGAAAGTCTATCTAGTCGAGTCTGTAAGAAGTGATTTAAGGGACTTCATTCCTCAGTGCCTTCCAAGTGGGATGTTGGGTGTGTCCAGGGTCGACATTTTGGCATATGGGGAAAGGGAACTCTCTCTCTCTAGCTGACTATCCTTATAAGGCTATTTTCCTTCTATTTTATAGTCCTTTATCTCTGAAGTTTAATCGAAAAAGTAAGTCACAGGCAAATTTGACTGGAACACACAGTAGAATTTCTCCATTGTATCTACACTTCCTTTTACTTTTGTCCAACAGATATGTTGGGTAGGTAATATTCACTCTGATAATACTTGAAAATGATGGTCTAAAATGTAGTTTGTATGTTAAAACATAGTTATATAATTAGAGCAGCCAGTAATACAACCGTTTGTGGGGCCTGAGATGAAAGTGGTTGGAATTAGAAACTGTCTTTTTAAACAGGTTTAAACATTTTTAATCCTAGAAGAAGCACAGGTTTGCTTGTTAGGCTCCTCCTTTATTACACGTTTATCTTTTTTGGGTCACATATTTTCCTTTCAGTTCAGTGAACAGTAACAATAATTAGAATAGCTTTGTATTGTTCATTGTTTTTCGGGTTTTGTTTTGTTTTTGCTATTTTTCTTTCTCCCTAGCCCATTTTTTCACTGTTCTTAGTTAGCCTGCTGAAGATATTATTGTGTATTCTTTCAAAGCTAGAAGGAGCCCCTTGCACCTGGGAGCTGAGAGAAGACTGATGTGCTAAATGCCCTTCACATCAGTGTTCAGAACCAGTTAAAAGGGAAAGGTTTTATTGCTGTGGGTTGACAAGAGGATCTACAAAATCTCTTCTCACATGGTGGTGTTAGGCCGAGGCGGCCTGCAAATCTTGACAGTCCCTGTAGTTGTGTGGTTTAACGCCACAGAGAGTCGAGATTCTTGAAAACCTGTCAGCGGGTACACTGTACCTGAAGCACCTGGTCAGTGTTATCAACACGGGTGGCTCTGCCAAAAGTGCTGTCCGGTCCTCTCCTCTCCAGGTGTGAGCTCAACTGTAACTCACTTTTTCTTTCTTGTTGGTCCTCCAGATAGAGCTTGTCCTCTGGTCTGCAGGCTCAGCATTTGAGGCAGAAAATTAGAAATTTGACCTACTTATGTAATATGCAAGTTCCTATCAGTAGAATATTAGGGAAGATATAAACCTTTCTTTTTTATTTGCATTTAATGTAACCATTGAGGAAAGATCAAAACAGTAAATCTGCCACGGCAAGGAAAAAAGTATTAAAAAATGTTTTACCTTGTGCATTCATCATCTTAGGTCTCTAGGGGGTTCATTTGATCCTGGAGTTGGGGGCCAGAATGAATATAAAATACTTGACAGAGTTGCAGTTTTTTTTTTTTAATTGAAAATATAGCGCCTTCCCATGTTCCCACTGTAGTGTATGATGCTGTGTCATACTGACTGAAATTCCAGGATGTGGGTTTTGACAGTTGAAGAAGTAAAGGAAAATGGCCTATGCTTTTTTTTGTATCGGAAGCTTTTTTTTTTTAATTACTTAGTCACTGTGTCTCAGGTGTTTGTGTTAGAATGAAATGAAGGAC